GTCGAGAACCATATATGCGAGACAATGTTCAGGGAGTACATTGAGATGAAGAAAGGCCACTGAGATAACATACAGTGCAGTGAACGCCCAGTGGGAGCTTGTCGACAAGTATCTGTCGGAGTTTCTAAGAGATCCTGTACAGAGGACTCTCAGTCTAGTGGTGATAAACTCGGGGCTGTGAAGACAAAGATTAGATCCAACTAGAGTCGAAGCAAGATCTTCAGTCAGTAAGGAAAGACTATATTGCAGCAACGAACTGTACCTAGAGTCGAAGCAAGACTACAAAGGTTAAGTAAGTAACTACAAGTTAGAGATAGATGTAACGAAGTACTCACTCTTCAGTCAGTAAGGAAAGACTGAAGAGGGAGGACGCAATCTGAAGTCCTTATATACTACAGAGAAGTGTCCATGACTAATCGAAGAGTGGTTAGTCACATGTACCATAGTGCGATGAATAATACAATGACGAAAGAATTGCGATGTATCGCATCATAGGATGAGTAAGATATGAGTAAGGCATAGACCTGTCTAGACCGTTCTGGAGTAGTACGGATTGTCCTAGACAGTACCAGAAGAGTCCGGAAACATAGCTATAGTACACGAGCAGAGAGTCCCAAATATGGTAACATACTACACAAGTGACTACAGCTAAGCGCTAGGAGACGCATAGCCTCGTGTAGTCCGGACCGGATAAGTCCAAGTTCAACAAGTGGGAAGATCACTGACTGTATTAGAACTATACCTGTACAGAGGACTCTAAGAACCATATGAGTACAGTATAGTATGGGAATAGAGGATGAACATACCTCAGTCTAGTGGGAAGATCACTGACTGAGGAAAGGAAGGAGCGAAGCCAGCACTGTCTACAGCGCTGGCAGGTGGCAGTGCTTGTCTACTATAACAGGAAGGTAAGGTAATCTAATCTTATCTGACACGTCACCTGACCGTGTTCCGACAGTTTCCTATGACCGACGAATTCCAGTGCTGCGAGTTGATAGCACATGACCATGTACATACATCATCTAGAATGAAGCTCGAGTACATGGGAGCTCCGCCCTCATACCGCATTATTTCGCAGTCAATTGGTATCAATACTGAAGGAGGGTGTTTAGCCTAGACCCACATTTAGCAGTGGACTACCGCATACTTTCGTCCTTCCCATCAATCTCGTACCTATCGACACCAACATCCACCTGCCCGCCATGTCCGGCAACTTGGAAGGTAGATCAGACGGACGAACGTCAGATGTCAAACATGACCATCATCTGCGCGAACTCACACGCAAAGACAATCCGGTCACCAGGCTGCCTGCCTTCGACCCAAGTGTTCATGGCCCTGATCTTGTCCATCATCAATATGGGAGGTTAGATTGATCATGATTACGATGTCTTGCTCTTCATAGCGATAGGTGCCTGTGATGTTCGTCAGTTCCGTCGGCGCAACAGCTCTTAGAGAAGGAACATACCCATTGAGGGCTCTTTCAAGTTCTTCACGTCCTTGCGTGCAATGATTTGCACTCGCAAGCCGTTGCTCACCAAATTACGGTTGCTTTTGTAACAGATGCCCACTAGGAGCGCCTTCTTCTCGCCCTCCTGCTTGGTTGCGATCGGCATGCTGGAGGATCGGTGAACGATCAGAAGGACGTTAGACGTGCGCTGGGGGAGAGATGGTGTACGCTCAAAGACGCAGAAAAGACGGGCGACCAGGCCTACTTTCCCTCCCCAACCATGAAGTACCTGATATATAAAGGCCCCAAAGCGCTGTCATTCCGAGCTAGTTGAGCTTCAGACGCAAGCGTGGCACTGCAGCCCTCCATGCCAGCATACAGATGTCGCACTGAGAAACTAATGGCCCAATCCACCCTCTGGCAGTCAATATCTTCGTATTATCTGTGCAGGGTCCAATTCCTGTGCAGAGAGACATGAGGGTCACATAATGCGGTCGTGTCATGGCAGGCACTGGCAAATGGTCGCTGCTCCTCGACCATCTGCTCCTCTGCCGCTGTCAACACACTGGATGAACCTAATGCGCCAGATTGTCCGAATTGTGGGTCCTACAAGTGCCACACCAAGACAGGAGAGCTGAGAGGCGCGGATGATCTCAAAAATGCCCCAGAACGCGACATTTACGGATGCAGCTACCTCCTCGACGCGTCCGCGGAGCATCAATACCGCCACCTCTCATCGATGAAATTCGACGCGTCCAGGAACCCACTGCATCGCGCTTCTGGTGTGCTTCGAAGATCCAGTCTGCGACCTGATCAAGTACCAACCAGGACAGACGTCGAAGTCCTTCTGTGCCTTCCCTCAGCCACCCGTGAGAGCGATGTGAGCATCTCCGACGCCAGTCTGGATGGGAATCCTTGACTAGTACAGGTTCTTGAACAAGCTGCGCCCACGAAGAGGAAGCGAAGACTTACTTAAGATACCACAGACGGATGCAATGATTGCCATGCAGCGTCATGTATGATCACTACAACAGAATCCTAGCAAGTGGCGAAGCCAACCCAAACGAAGCACCTCGCATGGGATGTGTAGGATAGCCACGCGATCTATGTGAGAGTCACTGAGCGCTGATTCTCAGAATGGATTCTTGATCTTCCATTTTTTCAGACAGAGATGAAGAAGACGTGTCTTCCCGTTTCCATGCACGGGCTAGAGACTATGGATTTCGACGTGTAGCTGGCAGGGATCTTCTGTGCCTGGACCTCCGCCGCCGTCGCGAGCAGTAGTCGTCCCAGCAAGTGTTTCGACTACGCATAGATAGTATCAGTCAATCAAGACGCTATACGAGATACCAAGCTCACTGGGAGTCACCGATGGGGTCCTCATTGGGATGCATGTGACCTGCAGAACAGCTGGAATAGCATGATCGGTGATGGGGTCGAGTGCAACGAAGCCCAGCGACCAATCTGAGACCTCTACCATGGGTTCCACATTATCCGCCTTCGATATTTGGAACCGTTAGCGCTGCGCAAACGGGTCTTGTCTTGTAGAAGTCTCCTTCTCAGCACCCATTTAGTGTGTTCCCAGTAGTCCCTCGACAACGAGATTTTCTACTCGTTAGAGTGCCGTATACGAGGACGTGTGTAGTGGCGTGGTACCGAGCTGATATACCCATATGATATGCCAAGCGCTAAGATGGGATAGGATGGGCTCGACACTTCTTTGGGCGCATCGCAAAGACCTGTCGCGTCCACATGAGTCCCATCTGGCTCGCAAAGGCCAGACGTGGTGAACGCGTCATCCCAGTCGCCGGTCCCTTCTGGCCAGGCATGACGAGGGAAGTCGCGGCGCACCGCGCATTGCGCGTTGCGCGTTGAAGACGGTAGTGCAAACCTGTCCGCCATCGATTCTGGTGCTTCTTAGCACAAGTATGCATTGACGCGTGACGCTGTGCGTGTGCATCCCACCGTCGGACGCAGCCCACGAAGTTCACAATAGACAGTATCCATTCCTTGGGAATAGACTCACAATGTAGGATATCTGACAGCTCCATCATATTGCGGATGACGGCGGCGCCTAACAGCCTGTGAGGTTGCCGTCCCAGAACGGGTACGGTTCCTTCGATGCGTGCAAGGCAGAGAAATGGTTACTACGTTCGAGCAAAGCCTACTCCAACTTTCAGACTACAATGGGAGCGATGCGAAGTTGCTTACGTACGGTGTACAGCCCCCACGCTGCAGCTTCGACTCCCGAAAGAATAGGAGTCGGCAAATGCCTCGCAGGTATTCACGAACACACGGCGAGACCCAAGGCCAGAAGTACAGAAGCCGCACTAGAGGTACCCGAGATTCCCTCTTCAGAACATGATGAATTGGTTGTCTTTGCCCGACTTTCCTGCCGGTTGGACAATTCCCGCACGTGGCTTTATCGGCAATCTCCTTGCACTCGGCGAGCAAACGGCGTTCGGCAAGCCCAGCAACGCAGCTTACAAGCGCAGGTTGCTCTTGACCATCTGCATACGTGGCCTTGGCTGCTGTGAGTTACCTTGTCACCGATCGGATGCTCCGAGTCCTGATGGTCATCTGTAGGTCATCTAGTCGAAGGGCCGAGCTAAACGTTCTGCCGAAGCAAATCCGGCCTTATTGGAGACGGAATAGGTAAGTTGGTTTCGTTCCCATCGGCATGAACATCGCCGCCGAGGATCTCTGCATCTCACAAAGTGTCGGTTTAGCAGGCCCACACGATGGACACCAAGATAACCATCACCATAGGCGATCTCCCCGCCGAGCTTTTCCACAAGGTCCTCGAGCAACTCGGGTGTGAGGACCGGGAAACACTCGCAGCATGTAGCCTCGTATGTCGCCGCTGGTTCGACATCAGCCGTCAACACCTTTTCTCGGACATTCACGTCCCTCGAGATTGCGACGAGACGTTCGAAGATCTCGCAACTTTCGTCGAGCTTCACGAGACGACAGCCGGCTACGTTCGTACTCTGAACCTTGAGGCACGCCTTTTCCACATCCCGCCTGTCATCTCTTTGATGCCGTCCCTTCCGTTGGACCTCCTGTTTCGTATATTACGGGCGTTACCCAATCTCACAATCCTGCGCATGCGACAAATAAAGATCGCGCCATCGGACCCCAGCGACGTCTCCAGGCTCCACCGGTTCAATCTCGAGCATATGGAGTACCAGAAGTGCCTCTCAGAGATTGGCCACACCTTCGAGCTGCTGTCCTGGTTCCATATCGACCACTTTGACTTCGACCCCCTCTTTTCAGACAGTACGGAGACCGAAATTAAGGCGGGCGACTACGCCTTGGACGTTCGCTCCCTATGCGTGAGCCCCTGGACGACAGACCCGCGATTGACATTTCAGGTGCTGCAACAGGTTGTACCACGCTACATGCTCAAGTCATTCCGCTATCCCTCTCTTACTATCCTGTCCACACCCATTCCTGTCGTGGACTTCCTACGAGAAGTGGGCCAGAACATCATTGACCTCAATCTCTGTCCCTGTAAGTTCAAGTCCTACCCTGGTTTCGTCACGATGTTGATGCCAAGTTCGATAGCTGGACAAGACGACTATCTCGTCTTGCCCCAGCTCCCCAGTCTGAAAGTCTTCCGTTATCACCTCGAGATCTCTCTCTTCTGTCGCCCTGCCGACTTGAGCCTCCAAAGGGCTGTATTTGCGTCGTTCAAGGAGTCTTGGCTGCCCCATCTACCCATGGATCTCGAGCAGCTCATCATGTATCTCACATATCCGGAGGTCGAAGACGGGATCGTACCTGCGGCCAACACTTCCGCCCTATGGGGTCTCGAGAGCGCCCTCGCCCGGTTCCCCCGCCTCAAGAAGCTAAGCCTCATCTTCCCGGAGCTCCCGTGCGATATGAAAACCGCAATCTCTGCTGCCGCCGTATGTTTCCCAACTCATTACAACCGGGGGGTCCTCGAAGTCGATGTTAGGGACTTTGCGCTAGAATGGTAAGCGTGGCGCGCCGCGACGAGCGTTGCTGATCCGTACTCATGCGTTTCTTCGCCAGTCGTGATTTCGACATCTACGGCTACCTTCGCGAGTGCTGCTAGAACAGCTGGCGGCTCCCCCAGGACTCGTCTGCGACCGACTGTGCTCCCAACGTTCCTGACTCCAGGAGGCGATGGTGGGCTGCGTCTTGGTGGCGAGACCTCAGCATACGAAATGTATCCTAGATCTGGTATTGTGAAGTTCACTGCTTATCTGTGCTTTCTCCGCCGGTCTGCGTCTAACTTAAACTTCACCATCACGGGCTGTATTGCAAAGTTCGACGTGTGCACGACGTTTCTGCCACCCCTTGTCGCCTGGAGATGACAGTACTAGTCCCGCGATTGCGGGGAACGCCGATGTTGTCTCGTTCTCGATGGTCGTCTGCCATAGCTGTGTCAGATCGCACTCTGCTGCGGTCGATGATGTTCGCAACATTCCACAATGTACCTGACCGCAAGCGTTACCCGGGTTTCATCTGGCCAGCATCTCGAAGATACGGCGTTCTAGCTGCAGTGTCGCTGCGTGAAGCTATCCGGCCCCGGACATCCCGGTAAGGAAGCTCCAGAAGTCTTCCTTCATTGATCATCGCCGGGCCGCTGGGGAAGTGCGGGGTTAATCAGGAGAGAGTTGTCGACGTCAAAACCACATCTGTTCTTCACCTAAGCAGCGTGCGAGGTGCGATTTGCTGCGCAGTCATGAAGGTGCTCGTTTTACGTGGTCGAGAAGCTCCGCTGCGAGTCATCTTCCGTAGTTCATCGGCCCAAACATCAGCATACGGAGAGATCGGGCTCCCCACTGTCGCGGTGTAATTCGAGAAGTACTCGCGCTCTACCGAGTTAGATGTGCCGGGCCAGTGGCACGTCGGGGTTTCTTCCTGAGGTGAGTTCATCACGGTGTTGGATCGGCCGCTCAACTTCGTCCTGAGTTCATGCTTATCGCTAGCTTCGACACTTTCTGACATTTGGAACAAGAGGCCAATTTGCTCGAGAGCCTTTGCCGTTGCCCGGACATCAAAGGCCCTGGGATAGGTCATCGGGGCTTCGCTTTGCACGCCCAGATAGTCGACTAGTCAATTGCAAGGCTCGTCTTCCCTTCTTGCATGGTCACCGATACGCCAACACGCGATGCTAATCAGCTAGACCTCCTGGGAAACCACGCGCAGATCGACCACATCTGGCAGCTCCGAACTGTCCACGTTGCGGCGACACGAACGCTGACAGACAAAGTTCGTTAATGCCGGACTCCTGGTGACCAAGGCTATGATTAGCCGCGTCACCTGAACGCTGTCCCTGTTCTCAGCAGCCTTTGAGTCGAACATGCGAGTTCTTGCAGGGAAAACGGAGAAGGTGGACGAGGGTGCGCCGGTGGGAGTGGAGCGCCCGTGCTATCCTCGTCCGCACTAAACCATTCTGGGAAATTTCATAGATGGCCCGCACAGGAACGCACCTCATCGTGCGAAGCTAAGGGCGCATCGCAAGGGTCTGTGAGGCATCTTCAGGCAGCCGCACTGCCCATTGGGGGCTCTGGCACCGGTTTGCGAGCCGGGAGGGGACCTGAGCAGGCTCGAAGTCTCTGCGCGAACTGCCGTACGAGGCCTAGGCTTGTTCCCGGAGAGTTGGGCCCGCAATGCCACGGTGTTTTAAGTTTGGTGCGGTCCACCATCAACTCCAATCGGGCGCAAAGTTTCGCGCCTTGAGATATATAAGCTGTAGGAGACGGGAGACGGAGTACGTTCCGGTACTCCCGTCCCCATCGATATACGCCGCGGCGTCAACGAGTGGACGCCTCCTTTGACTGTTGTACTGTATTCCCCTTATTAGTTTCTTCGCTCGATCACCGCGATGCCGGTCACCAGTAGGCGGATCGTCAAGGAGGCGCTGCTCGTCGGCGTCAGCTACGCAACTAACGATAACCTGAAGGATAACGACTTTCCGCCGCAGCCCGGCGCACACAAGGACACGCTTGCTTTGCGGAGGTTGCTCACGAGTACGCGAAGCTTATCTCGGAATGTCAGCCTAGCGATATACTGACGGGATTATGTGTAGGCAAGTATGGGTATGAGGAGAAGGATATTACGACGCTGGTCGACTCCGAAGAAGTACCGCACGAGTCCTGGCCGACGAAGGAGAACATTGTGAGCGAGCTTGAACTTTTGCGGAGAACGTCGGCGATAACCATGAGTCGAACATAGCTCCGGGCGATGAAGGACCTCATTGCCGACAAGCAGGCTGGGGACCACATCGTGTTCGCATGTAAGTCCCGCTACGCTTAGGTTCTTCTGTGAATGCCTGACGCCGATCAATCATTCTCACATAGTCTCCGGGCACGGTGGCCAGGTCAAGGCCCTGGTCGAGTCGGAAGAAATCGACGGCATGGATGAAAGTTCGTAGTGTGTAATAGTAGTCATGCTGGACATCGTCGCTAACATCCGCACTGAAAGTCTTGCTGCCGGTGGACTGTACTGTCGACCCAACCAGCCTGGACAACTACTTTGTAAACTTCATCCGGGATGACGTGAGTACATCGTCTCAAGCGTTTGCAGTTACTTACCTCTTATGTGGTAGGAAATACGGGACATATTCGTCAACCAGCTCGACGCAGGTGTTCGATGCACAGTGCGTGCGGTCCCCCCTTGTGCCGCTCCAACCCTTGCTGATCGCGCACTACAGCTGATCTTCGACTGCTGCCACTCCGGGACAGCATCAGGTACGCTCGAGTCACTGTGCCGTTCCAAACAATGTGGCTAATGCGATGCGGCTGAAAGATCTCCCGAGCGTCGAGTCCCCAATCGCCACGACGCCAGGCTCGCCTCTGTTCGGCAGCATCAGTCGTGAGTACCGAGTCGTGCACTCGCCGCCGCTCACCGGCTCACCCTGTACTTCATCCAGCTCGGTCTACCGGAGCGCGTGCTCCTGGCTCGTTCGGTAGGTGCCCATTGCAGTGCTGAACGGAGCAGGCTACTGATAGCTTGATACAGCTCAATTGGAGACGCTGCATGATGGGCATGCCAACGGTGCCGATAGCGCCCCGTACTTGTGGCCCGGCGCGCGGGCTGCGAGCATCAGTTATTTCGAGAAGGCAGTGGTGCGTGCTCCAAGACGATTCTGGCGTGGGAGCATGGGTCTGAGTTTGTGAAAACAGACGTCGTGGTCGGCTTGCCTGGACGACCAGCTTACGTTTGGGAGGAAGAGTGGCGGGATTTTCGTGAAGGTGCGTCTGTTTGAATCGTGCATCGTCCAGTTCAGTCGCTGATCGAAACTCAACAGGCCTTCACGCATGCCCTTGGTACGTGTCTCCGCCGAGGGCCTGTTAGGGGTCGCTCATGTTGTCTGAAACAGAGTTAAACCCCGCCCCCACTCACGGGGAGCTGCTGCAGTCCCTGCGGTCAGTTGCACCTACTACCCACTTGAATGAAATGATAACTGAACGTACAAAATTATATATGTAGAACAAGCCTCATAAAGGTCATTGAGGACGTGAACCGAAGGCATGTAGTGTCCTCTCGAGGAGACACTTTGTGGAGCGCCTGTGTTCCTCCCCGCCCTCAGGTCAGCCTCCTTCGTTCCTTCTGATGTCACGTTCGAGTCATCTTACGCGGCTACATAGCTCGGCAGCCTTTGTCCGAAGACCATCTTGCAAACGCAGTTCACCTTGTGAATCTCGAGGCGTTCTTTCCCGCTCCGATTTGTCGTTCATGTGGGCTTTACGCTCGCATTAGCTTATCACCGCCCTTGGAACCGTTGCGCTGGGTTGTGCCAGCGATTTTTCCCTTTATTTCTTCGTACTGTAGGATACTCAGCTGCTCACGAAAACCTACAACAGTCGACCATTCATTCCAGTTGTAGTAATCTGTTATACATTACTGTATCATTGCCAAGCCTAGGCGCTGTATATAATGTAACATGAGTATGCTCGTTATTTCGATCGAGTTTGTTCTGCACCGCCTACATACAGTCACTAGCAAGACGCTTCGAGAGACGCTTGCAGCGCAGTGAGTGAAACTTGCAGGTGCGCATGCTATGCGGTCAGGTGACGTTGTGTTCGATGTGCGTGGTGTTTTCGCCGTTCGGAGTTTCAATGTCAGCAAGTTGATAGCTCTTCTACCTTTCTCTCTCAACTCTTCCCTCTCATCCTCTCCACATCAAGACCGGCTGCAATGGCGACGACGTCGGTATCAGATACTTCAAAAAGTGGAACTCACTCAACCGGTAAAAGGCCTATCACGGATATTCTCTCCGAGACATTCCCGCCTTATGACGACCAGGCGGAACTGGTGACGCCTTTTGACAATGAAACGAAGCGGGACGCGGAGTTCCTGGAGAGTGTGTATATGCTATCCATCTGGGCTGTTCAGCCACTGTAGCGTGCTCATCGTCCTCCCAGAGCTGAACTCCATGTTACTCGAGCTCATCATCGAGTTCCACGCCTGGTCTTCGGCGCGCCCCATGCACGAGAGTGACCAGATGGCAGATGTGCTGGAGAAAGAAATTAAAGGCCTTAGGAATATAGAATCAGAACAAGGCACGTCCTCCGCGCCCATATACTTCTCCATCCCCTCCGCGTCCCCCTCCGTTATCGGTAGGCGCGCCTTCACATACCTTATCTGCAGCTGACTTTGCTCGGTGCAGAGAAGACACGACAGCGTTTGTACGAATTCATCACCCGGATCAAGCTTGCTCTGGCGGCTCTTACTGGACTCGCTTCTTGAGCTCTCGCTGTGACTGCTATGGCTTACGATCTCTTGCTGGCTGGGTTGTTGTTCGCGGCTCTAGCACTCGTCTCCTGCAGCAATATCATGGCTCACCCGATGTCATTTCTGCTCGAGATCTCCTCGTACATACTGGTGCAGCCTACGAGCTAAATGTAACCCCTATTGACTGCTAGTGGAGGGCGGTGTCGAAGCCGCCTATCCACACTGCCATACTCAGCTGGATCGCCGGGACGTCGAGCCCTTGATGAGATCATGTATTGACATCGTGTACCCGAGCTTGTGAATGATATGACAGAAGCACTCGTTATTGCATCCAAGCGGAAACTTCTCGAAATGCGGATATTCAGCGCTGCATTGATCCGGGAGACTCTGGCCACATTCTCCAGAATGTCAGTTTCACAGCATGGCCGGCCACGGCTATGTAGCCGCAGCCAGCTATAGTCTGTCTACCGATTCTCAGTGCTCCCGTCGAGAATCTGATTTGCCTCGGCCGTAGCCGGCGTCTCCCGGTCTGGGAAAGCCGACTCCTCCCGGCCCTTAGCATACGGTCAACTTCTGAGTCCCTTTGCTCTATGAATATCTATGAGTGATACAAGGAATCACATAAATGATTCTGTGAAAATTCACGACATATTGGGCGTCATTCTACATGTTGGGAGGGATGATCTGGTTACACTCTCCTACGGGCCGGGTGCGCTGTAGCCGGCGCCTGTACTCTCAGATTTCGCTGTAGCCTCGGGTAGCCCGCTAGCCGCCATCATATCCCGCCACGACTACGACTATGACCGCAGTCGTGGCCGGCCACGCTGTGAAACCGACATTCTGACCCGCCCTACCTGTCGTGTCATGAATATTACTTATGTAATGGCCAACTTGGACGGACCAATATGGTAATTTAAGCGCGCACATCGGCACTAGTGCGCATCGCCCCCTTCGCGTCCTCATCCGCCATTAGGTCTCTGTCCATTCTCCGTACTCTGCTGGCGTACGTTTCCAGGCCGGCCGAGAGATGGCCCACGATACCCAACACTGTTCCTTCGTGCTAGTGGCCGACTTTGACATCGACCGCGGCGCACAGCTGACGTATCAATTCCCTCAACCTCTCGGAACAGATGAGGGGTATGCCTTCTGGCTCTTAAGTCGCAAATCCCGTTGATGCGGACTGGCACACCAGGCTTCTGGCGAATCTTATGCTTCCCGATGGAGCGGAGAGGCAGCCCGCGGATTGGACCGTCTTCTTTCTGAACCAGACGCCGTTCAACACTATCCAACCCGTACTTGCCTTGGACAACGATGATGATGGGGCTGCGGATGAGGAGGGCTCCAAGATGCTGTACGTGATCAATCTGGTGCGGACAAAGCTGGATAAGACGGCGCGGAGGTAAGTCCCTCGCCCTCATTCTCCCAATTCTCGCCCTCATCCTCCCAATCCTCGCCCTGAACGTTGGTCGTGCTAGAGGTGCCGTTGTGAAAGCGATGGCCATTTGCACACGGTATCCCTTTGTCCAAATCTTCAAGCCGGTCTTGCTCCTTGCGCTTGACGACTACTTCATGAACCCTTCCCAAGACTGCCTCGCCCGCCTCTTCGACGCCGTCAACGCGATGGACTTCAGCAAGATGCCGATCCTCACGCGATTCGAGAAGCTCATCATGCGCCACTCCGAGCGGCAGGACCTCCACATTGGCCGGTACGAGGACGGCTCACCCTTTGGCGGAGACCCGGGGACCGCCACGCATCAGCAGCAGCAGCCCCAGACGTCGACGTTTCCCTCGACCGGACGCCCCACGCACAGGACGACCAACTCGGGCGACTCGCGTGTCAGCTTTGACGAGGGCCTGCGCGGACGCGCGGGCAACAACGGCACGAGTGCGAGCTACAAGTCGGCGAACCAGATGCGGAGCCCGACGTCGCCGTCCGAGGCGTCGTTCTCGCTCGACGGGAGCGCAGTGTGGGTCGGGGACGAGAGCGGGCTGGACCAGATGGGCTTCGTGGCGACCGCGACGGCCGCGGCGGCGAGCGCGAGCAGCAGCAGCATATCGAGTGCGGCGGGGAGGGGGAGGAGGTCGACGGACGCGTCGTCGTCTTCGTCGCACGGTGCGTATGTGCGGCCGGAGGGGGCGCAATCGCTCACGGGTGCCGCGAGTGTCGCGTTGAAGGACTCGCATTTCTATCATACCGCGATCAACTACAACGAGCACCTGCTGCCGGTGAAGGTTCCTTTGTCGACCTTTCCGGAGGAGGTTGGCGAGGTATGTCTGTTGCCCTTGACCTTTCCCTCCCAAGGCTAACATGTGAGCAGGGATCCTTGACCCTGCTCTGTACTACCTTCTCCCCTACTATCACGACTATGACGGGCCCACTCCACCCCCACCTACATACGAACGGCATGCTGACACCTCCAGTGATCGTTCTTTTCAACGCACTCATCACGGGGAAACGCATCATCTTCCTCGGGCATCAGAAGCTCGCGGAGAACGTCTCCAACCACGTCCTCGCAGCTTGTGCTCTCGGTTCCGGCTGCGGCGTCGTTCTCAGGGGCTTCATCAAGCGCGCATTCCCGTACGCTACTCTCATCAACCGCGAGCAGTGGGAAAGCGTGTATGTCCTCTCTCGTGGCTATCTTCTCTCACTTTCCTGACTTTCCATAGTCCTGGATACATCGCCGGGGTGACGAACCCAATCTTCGAGGACGTCGGCTCCTGGGATCTGCTATGCGATATCAGCACGAACCGCATGGTGGTGCACAAGGACATATATGTGAATCATCCCGCGACGTGGACACCGAGCTCGAATCAGCTCATCTTCCGCACTGGGACCATCAAGGCGGAGAGCTCCGTCGGGACCGAGGAAGACGTCGTCCGCGTGCAGACGAAGGAGGGGGCGCAGCAGAAGCCCGAGCTGACGGCGCGCCCGGACAGCGCGGACAACGTCTTCGTCGAGGACGTACGTATCTCCTTCGACTGGTTACGACGCGCAATTTACGGGGGAATCTGACTTGCATCCGGATGCCAGATCTTGAGCGCGATCGCGTCCCACTACTCCGAAGCGCACATCCGCGCGAAGTTCACAGAGTACGCGATGCGCTTCGTGCGCGTCGCATCGCTGTACGAGGAGGAGATAACGGGCTCAACGACCATCGGGTATCCGTCACACCCGTACATAGAACGCCCAGGGGAGAAGCCGCGATTGGGTAGCGGCGTGTACTTCTCGGATGAGGTTGCGGGCGCAAAGGAGCTCGCTATGAACGCGGGCCGGATTGAGGGGTGGCGGAGGACGGAGTGCTATAGGCTCTTGCAGGCGGTAAGTCGCATTTGGTCACCGGTGCTGCACCCTTGTGTGTGCCCTCTGTGGCGGAACTGATGGTTGGCATCCACGATCAGGACTGGCAACATGAACTGGCGACGAAGCCGATCCAGGGCTTTGACTTGTTGCACCAGCTGGCGCGTCTGCGGTATGCGAAGGTCATATCGGACGCTGAGGCTGAGCTGATCTTCCGTTCGATTGCGGAGAACCTGCGCACGTACGAGCAGGTCACAGAGGTATATCGTGTTACTACCTCGTTCGTGGGACCGGTAGCTGACGCACTATACGCCCAGCTCCTGGCCTGGCTTCCTCCCCACCTCCACGGCCTGCAGCCACTCAGCTTCGGCCTCTTCCATCAACAGGAGGCCGTTCGCGAGCTTGCAGTCGACCTCTTTAACGAGCTCCGTGCCCATCCCGTGAGTCGCGCCTCCCTTTCGCTACAATTTCCGACCCGTGCTGACGATCGTTTGCCACAGATTGGGGTGCAGTTCCTGCAGGCGCTGAACCACTTCCAACGATACGCCTACGTCCGGCAAGCGCATGCGCGCGAAATGCGCATGAAGGATACCAATTCTCTCACGATACCCCATTCTGCGTACATGTCCCGCACGCCTTCAAATCGTAGCGAGTCTAGTCTATGAGGCGGCTAGAGTGGAGCATGTCTTCATTGTATAGCCTTTCCTGTGCTGAGGGTGTAGTGGTGGACGGTGTGACGTAGGTATGATGGATCGGCTGTTGTGTACATAAACACCTGCTGATGGAATCATACCCTTAGGGCTGATTGATTCACGTGTTATTATTCTGTTGCTCGAACATTTGTCACGAAGTGTTGAAGTCTCCGACAACACCATCAGGGCTTTGTAGGACAGGTCACTCTAATCCTCCGTCATGACCGCTTCGGTCTGCTTCGCAATATCGCTCTTTTCGCCTCCTTCAAGCGCTGTGGCTCCCACACAAGGCTTTCAATCTTCTCTACGTGGATAAAATACGTGTCCCAAGGAAGGGTATCAGCGACAAAAGTCGGCCGCCTGTTTCTGCAACCTAGGCCAGCCCTACGATGCTTGGTTTGTTTCCAACAGGAGCGTTATCTCCGAGAGCACAGACCAGCGCGTCATGCGTTGCGTCAACTGAAGGCCATTCATGAACTAGCTGGCAGGTGGACCTCAGCGGTCTGACCCCGAACCGTATAAAATGAGGAGACTCACAGTCGAGGGGCGTTTGGACTCAATGTGTTCGAGCGTAGTCAGAATATACTGAGTATACCTCATACTGTGCAGCCGAGTTACAGCGGAGGTAGCCTGCGAATGTTCGAATTGCTCAGATGCGAACTTGTTGCGCCTTGTCATACCATCATCCAGCCAATGGTCGAAGCGAAGACGCTGGATTCGCTTCATCTATATGGAAATGCTTGCTTGCTAGTCTACAGATTGTGTGCTATGGGTTGATACAAGATCGCAGTGTTTAGATGATACATATAAGAGATATGCGGAGGAGCGGTGACTTGGTATATGGTCTATGTTTGCCTGAGTCCCACAGAGGCATAGTCGCTTTGGGTAGATGGCGAAGGAGGAGAGGTCAAACAGCCTCATCGCCCGAAGGAATTGCGTAAAGGCCAACGTCTCCAGGCGTATTGGACGGATCAGAAACAGGACCTGACCACCGCGACCTTCGAGCGGAGAGCGGCTTGGCGAGAGACCACCTTGTCATTATCATGGCGCGACTGGATAATGTGCGGAGGCCCGTCGCCATTCGCCTAGGTACTTTTTTGACAAGCTTGTGCATCCGCTTCATCTTCGCCGAGAGCGTGGAGACGCTCTGCTGCGCCTGCCAATCGCCGTTCCGCACGATCCAAGCGATGAGGAAGGCGCCGATGCCGATGACGACGCAGACTGAGATCCGGGTCGCTACGCTTGTGCCCCAGAGGCACACCCAGATGATGGCGATGAGGAATGTCAACAGTCTGTGCATTACCCATCTTGAATCTTCAAATAGCTCCTACCAAGATAGACGACATGACTCACCCCCAAGCGAAGAACACTGTCGGGATGCTGAAAAGGATAGCGAGCACTTCTAGGCCCACTTTGGATTCCGCGCGAGAGCTCAGGTACCCAGCCTGAGTGGGCGTGATAGTGATACGTCAGTATATTCCACAAAGTGCAATCTTGACGATCAATACGTACTGCTGCTTCGGCGTACTGGTGCGTGGCCTGCCGATGTTGCCGGGTGAGGATGGTACAGGCAACGATGTTCCCGATAGTCAGCATGGTCGAAATATAGCTGACGATCTGACCCATGCTTCGGTTAGCGATAACAACGCCATTGTCGTCGACGCTTTGGATAGCCAAGAACGACACATTTGCGGTAAGGATTACAGTTGACTGTACGCAGCTTGCAGTCAGACACCATGTGGGGTAGAAACGACGAGACACATAAACATACCGGAGTGATAGATGCTTCCCAGTCCTTTTGGAGCTCTCCGATGAAGGTTCCCCATTGATCGTAATTAACTTTTGAGTCTACCCAGGTTTTGCTCAAACGATCATGGTAAATTTGCGGTGTCCAGAAGGATATCCACGAGAACATCCTGAACCAGAGGTGTCGACCCTGGTGTGTCTCCTGGTACACGCTCCTATCGGAATCAAGCTGTGCGTATGGCTCGCCATGGTATCGGATGAATCGTTCCCGGACTAAGTGTAGTCATGAGCGTGATTCCGACATTCTGCGATGCGGTCCAACGTACAAATTGTTGCCATCAAGCGACCTGCGTGGGCCGTTCCGTAAGTCCAGAGCATACCAACACAGACATCCGCAACTCACAAACAATGACTACTTGCTGGGGCCGCGTGGGTCCGTTGGCTAGAAACGGAGTGATTTGGGTGACATGGGATAATGGGATGGGGATCTACACATACGTTCTGTTCTGATCTCTTTGATAATCTGGACAAGACTCCGTGCATCTTTTACGTTGTATGGCGCGGTGGATGACTTAGAAGTCTGCTTATCTGACATGAAGAGATTAGAAGGAGATGAACCCCGTCGAGTCATCGCGGTTCACCTAGCAAGAAATAGTTGAGGTCGCTCTTCAGATCCTCCACCCTATCTGCAGAGAGTTTGCGGTCATGAGGGAACATGTACACGTGAGTCCTAGTACCCCGCGTTAGTCGATACCACTACACTAGAGAAAGTAGGTGAGCTTGATTCACATCTAAGAGCGTCAAAGCAGACCTTACCTAAACGATCATGGATCTATTACCAATAGCCTATCGCGGTCGCATAACCTGCAACAAGCGAGACAATGCTCTAACACTGCACGAGCGATATTGAGGATAAACATACTCAAGTGCTCTCTTCCAAGGATCTTCACCGAATCGGTGCCGGACAAGAGGCAGGCGGGAATTTCATGGAGCCAAAAGGTGCTCTCCGTCTTGATATCGACGAGATAGTAGCATCCGAGGATATCCCCTACCTCATCCTGGGACAGTTCCAACCCAACCTCAATACCTTCTTGCGATATATCGGGATGGTTCCGTAGCTCTGTCAGGATGAGTTCAACTGCGATCTCAATCCTTTTGAGCATAAGCTCGTCATGTAGCCACGTATTGGTATAGAAGTTCTTCGCACGAGTTGAGTACGGCCCACATCAACTTGCACAATGATGACCATACCTTATGGCGGAAATATGGATTGCCTTCAGGATGGGTGTACTGCTTCCACCCCATCTCACCCAAGCTCTCCGGCCTGGCGACATGTTAGGCTGTCATGCGCAAGGGGGTCAAATTCATTGAAACACACCTCGCAGGTATCGCATTCTTGGCAGGGATGTTCTCGAAGAATGTCTTCAATTTGTTGAGATCACTGACATATGCCAAGCGAGTAAGCGTTCCGAGGATGACCCTATGACTGAAGAATCCAACGTACAGTCTTTCGCGACGTTCATACCGCAAGTCATGGCAGAACGTGGCCGGCGTCGGAGCGAGGAAAACAGGTTTCTTCGACTCTTCCGGGTCGCCCTCGGATATGCCGGCAATGATGGATTCGGGTTCGGCGGTCAACGGGCCTGAAAAATACGTCGGATTTTCCGGAGTACTAGGCAGCGCATTCGCCTGGACGCCGGAGAGAGTGATAGAGGAAGCACACGACACGGCCGACAGTGGACGCTCTGGGGCCCCTGGATATTCCGGCGTAAGGGTGTCGTTGAGCAGCATTGATGACGCCTGAGGCGACGGAGACGGGGGACGCTGCCTCATAGAGTGAGACAGGCCCGGGCGTTCCTTGAACCCAGTTGCACAGGCGGGTGGGCTTAAGGTTGATCCATGCTCCTCGAACGCAATGACCTGGATAGCTGGAAAGTGTTCCGTCTCCATTGTGGGGGCTTGAGAGGTGGTGGCGGTAATGGACATTGGGCCCCGGATAGTCGTCGGACTAAGCGCACGTCTATCCGTAATATACTTGTACTATGTTCACAGTCCTCACGCGAGTGGCAAGTGATGAGCGTCCATGAACCTTACACGCATAGCCTTGGCCACCACTAGGAGAAAAGGCTGTAGCATAGCTCCCATGCAGTGCAAGCTGTCCTGGAACCGGAGGTATAGGGTACTTAGAACACGGAGGATCGTCTGGTGCCGTGAGATTGCTATCGATAAGCAGGCCTAGAGTTCGGCACTGACTTCGTTTGCATAACAGATTTAGTTTTTCACGTACCATAGTGCACCCTGACTGACCAACTACAAGGGGCCCGCACTCGCGTGAACCTCATGCCCGCGCATTATTGCGTGTCTCCTTTGGAGAGGCTGCGATGGAGGGTATTCTCGGGAGAATGCCCAGGCGTGTCTGCCGAAACAAGGTTAAGTTGAAGGCCACGTTGCAAGCAGTCTTAATCGATGGAAGAGAGCAAGTGCAGCCGGGGGCACAGACATGGCGAAAAGAGAACCACGAAACGCTGCGACTTCTGGCCTTGTGTCGCCGCAAAAGTCAAGGTGCGGAGGTGCCGGAAGCGCCAACCTGTGCAACTTCTCAGCGCTCCGACCGATTACGTACGGTCACTAATACCAAGTGCAGAACCATGACTCAAGAGGTCCAGACCACTCCCTCCCTGAGCCCCTGACATACATAGAGATACTATTATTATGTACGAGTCTCAATACTCTGACCACATATCAAGATACAAATATGATATACAAGCGCGCGATGGAAGCAACCTGTGCGTCACGAATCGACGTGTAAAGGACGGGAAGCACGGACCAGACACCGGCCCAGCGGGCGCCGGGAGGGCCAAGGCGCTGGAAGAGCCTGAGCCTTAATGCGAAGAGACACCAGAAACGTCTGTCTGAGACAGAGTCGGGTTGGCGGCAGATTTCTGTGCCTCGGACATCTCTGGCGTCGTCCGAGAACCATCCGTATGAGAAGAGCGGAGAGATTGCTTCGGCGAGAGCGACACCCTGCTTTTGATCCAACTTGAAATTAGAGTCTGTCCCGACCATCTTCTCGACCAGCTTCCCCTGGTAAACCTGCGAGCCGTCTTTATGAGCTTCTTCATGCGCGTCATGGTTGCCGAGAGCGAGGTATTGTCTTGCTCTGGCTGCCAGTCGCCGTTGTGAATGATCCCAGCAACGAGGATTGTGGAAACAGCAGTTGTGACGGCGATAACGACTCGGGTGATGATGGTCGTGTTGTGGAAGCAGACCCAGGCTATCGCGATGAAGAAAAATAGTAGCCTGAGTGAGAATATGAAGTCAGCATGCTGACATGTACACGAGAGAGCTCCTGCTACTGACGCCCAGAGGATGAATGCCGTTGGGATGCTGAAGATGATGGCGAGCTTCTCCATACCCCACCTGTTTGACGCTCTCGGGACGAGGTACTTTATCTGGTCAGCACAGGACGAGAATGGTCAGTATAGGGCCTCGGGAGAGCCCGTGTCCCTGAGAGGACTCACCGCATCATCGGAATGAAGATGCAGGTTTGGTCGATGTTGCCGTGCCAGGACAGTGCAGGCAACAATGTTCCCAAGAGCGAGCAATGTCGACATGTAACTGACAATCTGTGCCACGCTCCTATAATCGTCCTCATGATCCACACTTTGAATCGCGAGGAACCCGACGTTCGCCGAAAGGATGACAGTGGACTGAAAAACGTGTCTCCAAATCAGAAGTTATGTAAGCGATGGGATGACAGAGCATGGACGCACGGGAGTGATAGAAGCCATCCAGTCGTCTTGAAGTTCGCCTATAAAGCCCCTCCAATTATCGTAGTTGACCTTGTTGTCGACCCACACCCTGCTGAGACGTTCGAAGTAGATCGGGGGCGTGTAGAAGAACAACCATGTCAATACATTGAATAAGACAGAGCGTTGTCTGTGTTCGTCTTCATAAACACTTCTGTCGGAATCGAGCTGGGCGTAGCGCTCTCCATGGAAGCGCATGAAGCGCTCGCGACCTACACAGAACGGTCAGGAGTTTCTGAAGATATCAGCATAGATCGCTTAACAGCGCACATAATGTTGTTCTCAAACGGGCGACTATAACCACATATTGGGGCAAGGTCTCCTTCGCCTCTGCAACAGTCCTCTGAGCGACGAGAGGCGATTGCAGATGCAGTAATCGTACCACTGGAGATCTCGACTTGCTTGAGGACTTTGAGGAGGTTATCGAGATCTTCAACACTGTAAGGTGCTGTGGAGCTTTTGGACGTCTGCTTGTCTGCAAAACGTTGAGCAACGGTTGTCTAGCGCGGACTCGACAAACGCACCGAACATATGATAGGCGAGATCAGCTCTCAATAGCTGGAGGTCCTCGGGCGTCAAATGGCGGCCATGAGGAAACATATATATATGATCCCTATATATTCGATGAATACCGCATAGAGCCTGTGAGAAAAATGAGTAACGGAGCACAAGCAGATAGGCACAGATATAGGACCCCGTACCTGCATCAAAGAGGTCATTACCAATAGCCTATTCCAGCCGCGAGACCTTGGCACGTGAAAGCATGGATATTCAAGTTGATCATTTGACTTATGTTCCGAAGGACTGAACTCACCAAGATGCTCCCTACTCAAGATTCTGACGTCTTCACCGTCGTAGAAGAATGTATTCCCAATGGGATGCAGCCAAAAGACTTCCTCGGTCTTCTTGTTGCAAACGTAGTAGCATCCAAGTTTGACACCATCATCATCGATGTCGAGATCCAAGCACACTTCGACGTCGCTCAAAGCTATGCGGCGTCGTCGAAGGATATCTATGACCATCTCCATCGTATCATCTATGGCCTTCAGGTTCGGCTCATCATAAAGCCACACATTTGTGAAGCAGTTCTATGGGCGGAACGGTTAAAGGAGGATCAACCTTCCACTATATCACCGTAACGTACCTCCTGCCGGAAGTAGACAGAGCCTTCCGGGTGAACGAATGGCTTCCACTTGGAATCGAGCGTTCTATGCGCATACCGCTGGTAATGTTAACTGGAAAAGAATAGGAAGGCTTCGGTACCGTACCTATGAGGCACAATACGATTGTCCGCACCAATGTTGTCGTGAGGCTTGATCTTGTTGTAGTCACTTCAGCAATTATGGTGAGTGGGCGCAGCCTAAGCATATAAAGTATTGACAGATATACTCACACTTTCTCTCTGCGCGCATACCTTGACTGGGAAATGAATGTTACAGGAGCAGGTGCCAGCCAGATTCCAGCCTTTGACACTGTGGAACTACAGTCGCTCTCTGCGGCCATCCTCTCCGGTTCTGCCGTCATGGGACCGTCGAGAACGGCGCGACCTCCAAATTGACCCGTCTCCACGTCATCTGCTGTGTCAGAAAGGGGGATAGCTACGAAAGATCCATGGGAGTCCGAATGGAGGGGCAAAATTGAAGGGCGATCGGACATGCTAGGACCCAGAAGAGGGGAGAGCGAACGTGTGATGCCGAGTCCGCTCTGCGGTAAGGTATTCTGTGACTGGAGAGGCGGTCTGATGGTGCAGCTCGTTCTTGGTGTTGTAGAGTTTATAAGCAGAATGGAGAGCAGCTGCGGGGAGCATGGACGTGACAGTAGTGTGTGGTATGGTCGTGGATTGAGACGCCAGAAACGTGCATGCGATGCGCATGTAGGAACGAGCTCATATCAAGGAACAGCAGGCAACATGAACAAAGCAGACACTCACATCCACTTCGCAGTCGGCTCGTTAATAGTCGGGGAGCAGGGCGCGTGTTAGAGTCCTTCGACCCGTGGCCTAAAGACATCAGCCTGTCATGTTCTTCGCGCGGAATCGATCACATTCATTCGCAGTAGCTTTCGACGCTGGTTGAGCTTAGTGTGAAGCGTCGTACCCTAGGTGAACCTGAACTGGACAGCGACCTGCGTCGATCGAGCAACGAATTGTCGTATCGGGTGATGAATGTAATCGATGGCCTGATCCAGGACGATCATCCACTCAGGCGGAGCCCGGAAAGTCTCCCTTCGCCGTCGGATACATTCTGTGCACTGCTGCCTTCGGTCTCAGGCCTTAGCGTGAAGAGTTATTGCTATTTTCATCGGAGATACAGGGGCCAGTAGTGCAACAACGTCCGAGCGGGATTTTTCAAGTCGCCTATGCAGCCCAAGTGCGAAAACAGTCTAGAAGTGAACACAGCTATCACCGAGGCGCAGGCAGACCAGCAGACGACGCCCCGATTTCCGTCAGCTCCGTAAGAGGGTCAAGCTTGCCCTTGTATTGTGGAAGGTAGGCAGCGTCCGTGTAGGGGCAACGGACAGCGGGAGAACCTTTGTAGATCGGCGTGAAGCTGGCCGCGCAAACCTCAAATTCGGTGAATTCGTCGTAGTCGATGTCCACCGCATTCCGAGGGTTGCGGTCACCGGCCGCTATACGTTGCCTCGCCTGATGCATCCGAGTGAGATCCACATGAGCTACTCCTAGGTATTCCGGTCGAACTCACCTGCGCGACGATCTTTGGGTCAGGGTTTAGCTCTAACAACCGTCTTGCAAACTTGGCGGCAGTCGCGTGGTTGTTCGCCTTCGCGAACACACCAATTGCGCTCCGCAAAGCGATCTGCAAGTGCGCGGGCTGCAACCTGCAGTGCGTGAAGTACGCGGCAAGCTCCAAACTACGCTTGACGTTGTCAGGGTCTTCTTGAGCAACTCTCCTCCGCTCAATCTCGATAGTGACACCCAGCAGGTACTCGCGTGACAAAGTCACCACGTCGCGCCACTGACGCGAGGCAGTTGTTAGTCAATTTGAGAATGTTTGTGGAAGTTACACACACCTCCTTGGCGTCGTTATCCGTCGAGATAGGAACCAGCAGAAGCGAACGAAGCACGGAACGGAACACCACCTGCGCGTCTGGCAGCTTGTTGCCAGATACGGCGCGGAATCCCTCCGAGAGTTCCGTCCGGATCGACGCCAGAGTCCGGACAGCAACAGGGAGCACACGACTCGGGGACGACTCCTCGGGATCACGCCTCAAGTGCAGCTGCAGGGGAGGGAGAGACGCCACAGGGGAGAGGTACACATGTGAAGATCGATAAGCCGAGAGGAAGGCCGGCTTGAGATGCGAAAAGTTGACGATTCCAAACTGACGATTCAACAGCTGCGCATATAGTGAGATGCAAATCAACCGGTCCTGGTGATGGACAGACTCACCTGCATCGCGCTGTCGAACGAGCCAGCTGCAACGTGGTCCGCTGCGAACGGCGAATTACGTATCCACAACTCCGTCTCGGCCACTCCTGGCGTCGCACCAGCACCCAGGTCCACCTCTTCCTCCGCAGCTTCTTCTTCCTTCTCTTCTTCGGCTTCTTCCGCATCCGCATCGAGGTCCCAAGCACCCTCTTCGGCTGCGATGTCTTCGCCTGCCTCCTCGTCCTTCGCCCAGTCATCGAGTGCAGCGGACGCAGCCGCACCTGTATCAACGCCATTGACGTATGGTACATCCCCGCCATCCAGGTTGCCGTTTGCGAGCGCCTTATCAAAGAAGCTCTCTCCAGTCGACAGTGTAGGCCAGTTCAGGTTCGTCGTCTCAGTGATCACGGGTGGCGGACGGAGCGTCGAATGCCCGAATGAAGGAACGTCATCGACATCGGCCTCGTTCAGGCCCGCCACCTCGAGGATCTCCAACGCAACGTCGTCCAACCCATTCGTTTTCGCGGTCAGGTACGCCAAAGAATCTAGCACCCCAGGACTTCATTAGCATCTCAAGCATATCGGCGCGTCTCGGACATGGTACTGACACATTCCGACGTCCCTCAGAACGGCGATACGGCCGACGACGTCACCAGCATAAAGTGCATTGTGGAACCGAGACATGGGATCCCCACGCGCATCGGCGATTTTCTGCATCTTCGTCAGCTTGTCCGTACTCCCGGTAGCCAAGTATAGGAACGACAGCCGATCGAAGTTCTTCGTCCGCTGGTATGCCTTCTCCACAATCTAGCGCGCAGGCAAATGAATGTGCATTAGCGATCGAGTCCACCGTCAGACTCTTGGCCATTTCCGGGGCCGAATCAACCCACCTTGTGGTTGCCTTGCTTCAGAGCCTGCTGAGCAAGACGTTCCCAGCACTCGGGCCGGTCGATGCTCTGCGCTGTCTCCAGTGCAACATCCAGATTCCCACATTCGATCGCCAGGTCGAACCGCGTGTTTTTGTCTTGCACAAAGTGCAACGCGATCTGCGTGCGCGATTAATTGAGCGCTAACGTTTTGAACACCGACGCAAATCCCGGGCAACATACCTCGGGGAATCCCTTTTGTTGCAGATACGCGATGATGCTCTGTCCCAACAGGTTAGACGTGCGGATAATGTATAGCATCTCTTCATGGTTGTTTCGTAGCAGCGCAAGCTTGAACCGGTACTCCGTGGGGTCGATCGTGATCGTACGTGGGCGTGCAGACCGGTCGAGGCAGTGGACCGTCTTACCCTTCACCCGGGTAAGATATACAGGGTTGTCCAGGGTGCAAATCACCCCGTGGTCTCTGTATCACGACGCAATGACTTAGCATCCGCTGCGTTACGCTATTGTGCACTACATACCCTTGCGCCAGGCAATACTTGATGTGGTTGAGCGTGGAGTAGATGAAGACGCCTGTATCATCCCAAGCGCCAGACTTGATACGGATCGTCTCGTGGATGAGCGTGTGCTGCGTGAAGTTCTTGTTCGCGATCGTGATGGCTTCACACGAGTCAGCATCTGTGCCTTCCAAGGTCTGTCCTGAGGAACGTACTGTGCTTGCTGAGTAGTGCTACGAGCGAACCATCCGCGCTCCACACGACATACTTCACTGGCGGCGTGGTGATCTCGGCGAGAGTCTTCTGCTGCTGGATATCATAGAGAACTACCGACGCTGAGGAGCTAAGAATCAGGCTCGCAGTGCCGCCATAGAATATTTCGTTCGTCTGAACAGGAGGCTTGATGCTCTTAACGACCGAGTTGGATAGGTCGCGAACCTCGATAAGCTGCCCGCGCATGAACATAATATAAGCATCGTTTGGAACGGACAGAGACAAGCGGAACACACCTGGGTGGCCTTGTTAAGCACTGCGAACCTGTTCCTCGCCACGAAGATCGCGGCCTGACCACTCCCACGCTTGCCATCTGTCGACGAGTCCTTCACCTCACCAATCGCGTCCTTGGGAAGGGTGGTGAGTTCGAAGAGGCCGTTGTCCGACGAGATCGTGAGCACCACCGCGCGCTCAGCTGGGTTATAGCTGAGCGTGCGCGGAGGGACGTAAGGACTGCCAAACTTGCGCACGCTCAAGAGCCCAATGTCCGAGCCGGTGTTGATGTCGTACGAGCGCACGTACTTATCGCGCACGTAATATACCGTGTCGCCGTGCATCGCGAAGGCCGGCCGCTCACGCTCGAGCTTGAAGACGATAAGTCCGTTGTCGTGTCCAGCAGCGAACAAGTTGAGCTCCGGGTGAGCCGCGAGCACCCAGAAGCGGTCGTGTTCTCTCCTGAACGTCTGCACAGCGGAGCGCTTTGTCAGGTCCCAGACGCGCACAGTCTTGTCCTCACCGCACGATACAATGAGCTCATGCTTCGGGTGGAAAAGCGCAGTGGAGACATTGTTGAAGTGGCCCCTGCACGAATCGACCTCCCAAGCTTTCGTCTCGCTCATACGCCAAATCTTGATCTGACGGTCGTCTGCCGCAGAGACGATCAGGGGGAGCGTTGGGTGGAAGGAGGCCCAGTTCACGCCGCGATCGTGGCCCTCGAGCACGTACTTGACGGTGGAGAAATTGTCAAAGGTATCAAAGGTACCGGGAGCCGTGTTTGGGGTGCTCTTGCGCAGACCGGAGATGTCCCAGACGCGCACTGTCTGGTCTTGTGAAGCGGACACAATGAGGTCCTCCTTGGGGTGGAACTGCGCAGACATCACGTAGTGCGAGTGGCCGGTGAGGATTGCAATACAATTGCGCGAGGTGCTGTTCCAGATACGGATGGTCTGATCGTCGGAGCAGGAGAGCTAGAAAACGATCCACTGCTCAACAACACGAGCTATCGTGAATGAACAAGGTACTCACAATCCATGGCATCTCGTGATGAAACTGTACAGTGCGAATGTAGTCGAGATGTCCGTGAAGCGTGAAGAGGCAGCGGCGGTTTGTGGGCCGGATGTCTGCGAGCAATGAGGGAATACGCAAGAACCCCGAGCGTTTTCCACTCACCCCAGACTTTGATCTTGTAGTCGTCTCCTCCAGTTACCAGGAGCGCGCGGCTGGGATGGAACGCAACAGCTCGGACGGGACCTAGTGGACGTTTGGCTCTGAAATTGATCGGAGAGCATATCTACACGCACCTTCGTGCTCCTCAAACCTGTCAACAAGTACGCCCATCCGATAGTTCCATAACTGGACACTCCCGTTGTGCAGCGATGCGGCCAGTAGCGGTTGAGTCGGGTGGAATGAGAGTCCTGAAACTTTTACAGTCGAGAGGAATCCTGCGAGCTGTGCCGTATGGTGACATACCTTTGACGCGATTGCTCTTGGACTCAAACTTCGTGAGCATTACCGACATCCTGGCAACGCTTTCTGTGGTCAAGAATGTAAGAGATGACCAGCAGAAAGGGCAGAAAAAGTGTACGTGGAGGTTCCAAGAGAAGGCGTGGCGACACGATGATGCTGTATGGGCGTCTACTACTGAAGTAACTACGTCGATGACTGGCTTTGACACGTATGCTTACTGTATAAGCCCCCGATTGATATACCCCATCAAGGCTTTCGATGCACATAACTATGTGGACATATAGTCTCTCTGCTTCCATCTCGTGCTGTGTTTTATTATATTCAGCTTCCATGCATTTACTGTTCTACTGCTACATTAGCGAGTCATTTATCGAACTACAGAAATCGAGGGAGATATAGCAGAGCGCATTCCAGCTATGCCTACTATAGTTCCTCAATGAAGGTGCAAGTTTCCGTGCTCCCCTAATGACGGTGTGAATGTCTTGTCCGTACACGCACTACTCTGCTGCGTGTATTGAAACACCTACATGCCTGACTGCGCCAGAGGAAGGGGCCAAGTCCGGCTGTCTTATGGGCCCCGACCAGCCCAGTTGGTGTCCCAGTCCGTTCAGCGGTTGAAACAGACCTAGACGGAAAAGCGCTCCGTGTCGTCATCCGGTCTTTACCTCAACCAAACGACCGCCGCTTCGTCCCACTCCGCTTGCTGTAACACACTGTATGGATCTCTCGGGACCCGACGCGGCTGAAGATTGTGCTTGCTAGCTGGATCGTACGGTTTCTGGTGGATGGGTGTTCAAGGGCTCAGACCCTTTTTGGAAAAGACTTGGTCAGTGGCGCGTTCAACCTCATGAACAGCAGACTCAGATCATCCCTCGTAGTCCGCAGGTGATTCATTATCTTCCACAGCGGCTCAGTGCATTAGATGGGAAGAGAATTGTTATGTGCGTTCTATTTGCCATCTGCGCGCGCGTGGTACTGACACCTCGGTCAGCGATGGTACCCTCATTACCCAACGCTTCCACTACGCCCCTATGCCACAACAGTACCGGCATGTGCTGTCCTGGTATCGCCTAGCACGCTCCCTGAAAGAACATAACGTCCAAGCTATCTGTGTCTTTGATGGAGGGTTGCGTAGCGTGGCTAAGGAACCCGAGGTACGTAGCATGGAGTCACCCTCTTTCGCACTTCCAGTGACAAGGCGAGCATGTCCGTAGGTCGAGCGACGCCGTCAAGAGCGACGACTAACAGCCGCACGAGGCCTGTTCGAATCCGATCGCTTGCACAGATTGCGTCTTCTCTCTACTTCTTTACGAGAGTGGCGTTCGTCTGATCCGGGGAAGCGCGAGCGAGAGCTGGCAGACTTCAAAATACTGATGGATGTCTCGAAGCTGCCAGCACACCCCATTGTTACACCTCCATCCGGGACAGTGGCAAACACTGACGTCCTTGATTCCACCTTCGAACAGCGGCCTTCGAAGACGGAGACATCGGCGAGTTCCCCAATCTCTCGTGCCATACCGGAGAAATCGCAACCGGAGTCCACACCTCGAGGTAAATCGCGTTGTCATCGGCTTAGTCTATTGATTCATGACATGATTGAAGGCCTCGACAGTACACGAACATACCTACAGCGACATCCTGAAGCCCCGCCTCAGGAGGTCAAGAAACCGGGACTTGCCACGCGTCTTCTGCGAATGGTCTCCCAGTATTGGGCCAGTGTGCCGAAGCTCGAGTCCTTGACCCAACCGCCTTCCACTCCACAACCGCCTTCCACTTCACAGCCGACTGCCGTGAGGGTGGAACCTTCAGATAGTCCTTCTGCAGTGGAGCTGGACTCTGCTGCTGGGATGGCGGGAAACGATCCTATTAGGCAGCCACCTGCCACAGAGGAATCCTCAACCAACCCTTCTGAAATAGAGCCAGACGAGAACATTCCACCTGCTGTGGAGGTGGAATCATCGATTATACGCCCTACCGTCGACCTGGATCGGGACACTCAAGCCGCTCTGGTAGAGTATGCTCTATCGAAGAGCCAACAAAGTCTTATGGAAGAAGAAGGCAAGCTCTGGGACATGCTTGCCGAGTCCTTGACTTCGGACGACCTCCCAGAATCCATCACTAGATATGCCGAGGACTTGGAAGCGAAGAGCAGCGTTCTCTCCGAATCCTATCAGCGGCGCACTTACGCGCCCACGCAAAGCACGTACTCCGAGAGCAGGCAGATTCTACGTGCTATGGGAATTCCTTGCGTCGAGTCCATTAGTGCTTTCGAGGGCGAAGCCTTAGCCGCCTCTCTCGTCGTCAATGGCTACGCTGACTACGTTGCCAGCGAGGACATGGTATTTCAGCCGATTGCGATTGTCCTATTTCTCGAGCTCATCTGTCTGTCGGTGCAGGACGTACTTGTCTACGACGCCCCGCTGCTCCGTAACATAGCCAGCAGCCAAGATCCCCTCTTCGTGGTCCACCCCGACGAAGTCCGCGCAGCTCTCGGGCTCGACCAGACTCGCTTCGTCGACTTCGCCCTTTTGCTCGGCACGGACTTCTCGCAGCGGATCAAGAACATCGGCCCCGCACGCGCGCTCGCATTCATGCGCCAGCACGGCTCGATCGAGCGCATCCTTGAGCAGGAGAGCAAGTATCCGCTGCGGATGCCCGTTGGGATGTACCTCGAGCAGATCTCGCTGGCGCGCAAGGTGTTCCAAACGCTGCCTCCGCCTCCGGACGAAACTGTCTTCCAGCAGGGTCAGGTTGACGAGGTCGAGGTAATGGACATCCTGGATCGGTGTGGCCTTCGGAGATTTGCTATGGATGATGCAGACTACTCGCAGGCGCTCTCTGGCAACTACTTCGCTGACAATCCCGCGGCTGTGTAGCCTCTCGTCATATAAAATACATAACATCTGAAGCAACACTCAATTCATCGTGTATTTGTAGTGCCACGCGTAAGTTATTAGCTAAATATGCGTGGCCTTCGAGAAAGGCAAACACTCCAGCCAGCTACAGCGACTTGATCTCCCCAGGCCAGTAAGCATTCCCGCCCTTGTTCTGCTCATACCACGGCCTGTCGTGCGCGAGCAGCACCCTCACCCTCGGGTTTTCCTGCAGCTCCCTGATCCGCCCTATGTGCACCTCTGCCTGCTCCTTGTTGACATGGGCGCATATCGGCTTGGTCGCAATCTTCCCCTCCCCCGTGATGATCTGCCAGTCATGCGCGCTGTCCCCAGCAAGCTAGATCCACTCCCCGTACGCGGACGTACGCGCTAGCACGTTGATGTGTCCGGGGAGGTGCCCCGGGGCGTCGACGACGTGCAGGCTGCCGTCCTTATAGAAATCGAGAGTGTGCGGGAACGGCCCGAGGGCAGGCGCGCTCGCGAGGTCAAGGAACTTCGTGCGGTCCTCTGGAAGCGCGTTGAGCAGCTTGATCCCGAGGTCCCTCGTTTCCGGATCGAGCAGCGTCTGCGCCTCGCTCCCAAGGAGGTACGTCGCGTTCGGGAAGAGGGCCGGGTCGCCGATGTGGTCGAAATGCGCATGGGAGATGCTGGAGTAGGTGACGTGAGCGGCTTCGAGGTGCCCCTTGCGAAGTGCGTCTGCGACGTCCTCGGGGACCAGCATGTCCGCGCCGATCTTGCTGTACTCTGCACGCAGGCCGGGTTCGAGCGCGGCCCAGTCCTTGCGGATGCCGAGGTCGAAGACGAACGTCTCAGGGCGACTCGACTTGAGTCAGATAGAAGTGTTTTTGAAGAGGAACACCGACGACGCTCATTATTATTCAGAATATTCACATGGATATTCTTCTTCATGCTCCCCGTCTACTTCGAACAGCTGAGTATCATATGGTTGGACAACAAGGTCAACGACGATCCCTGGACTCGCTTTGTCCGCACACTGCAAGGTGATTGGGCAATTTCAATAATCCCTGTGCGCTGAGTGTTTTCATGTGATGCCTAAATTCAACTCTGCTATCACAACACGTCTTGGTAGTCGACTATCATCCTCTCGGCGGACACGGGTTTCCTCGCAATTCAAGGCGTCAATCATGAAGATGCCTCCCGGGGCTACGCGCAAATTTTCAGTTACATATCGATCCTACTGGCCCTCGGAAACATAATTGCCTGTACTATCCTCACACGGCGGCATCGGCCAAACATGTATATCTATGCCGAAGACCCTGTGAGTTCACCCAAGAATTATGCTCATTCAATGCCTACATATGCATCGTACCTTTTGCATTTGCATTCTGCTTGATAGATCAAACACCTTGTTCCGCGAGCGTCAGATAGACTGGGGATCGAGAACCTTGCCATCGTTTACAGTATACCAACGGCGTTCATCCTTTGGGCGTCAGTATCATAGCGTTCTCTGTATATTTCCCTAGCAAGCTGACTTCGCTCCCCGATTTAGGTTATTGTCTTTCTTGATGGCGGTACTTAGCCTGAAACTGTTTCCACCAGAGTCGTAATTGCGGTCACGACAATCGTATCCGCAATTCTTGTTGCCGGAATTATCCGCGATGGTGATTTCCAGTCAGAACGAGGTGTGTAGTCGCTCGCGAACAGCAATATTTCCCGCATGAAGAAGCTTGTAAGATGGTAGGGCGGGACGCTGCCAGTGAGTTGACCCCCTCAAAAGTCACCTGTCGAAATCGCACTCATGAATTCACTCAAATCCCTCAGGTGTTCTTAGACGTCTGCCGAATGTCTATAGTGCAAGCATTACCGCCGTTATCGCCCTGGCACACACGGACGACATCGCTCGTGTTTGTTCGGAACAGGGAGCGCGGGTTCTTCCTGCACCTCCCGGTTTCTCTTGATTGTGGGCCCTATCCGCCCTGGGCGATGCATGTTTTGTGGTGCGCAGGTTGCTTCCAGTCCCTGTACCACCATGGCTGGCATATCTGTATCTGAGTATTCTTATTTCATCGGCTTCTATGCATGCTTGAACCTGTTAGTGAAGTCAGAGACATTGGTGCGCAAAAGCGAGATTCAAGAGGTAGATTGGTAGTGTATGATATTGAATATTGACCGTCGGAGCGTTCGGAGAAGACTGCGTGGGAACATGCTACAAATCGACGCCGGTCTGCAGAGTGCAGACTGTGCGCCCGGACCCTTTCTTTCCCCACGACCACCTTCTGTCTCTTCTATCGATGTTCCAGGCTTGTAACGTGGCCTTCTTGACCTCTGCGGAAACGCTGAGGCACCGTCAGCCTCGAGGCCGATTGTGGATCGCGCTCATTTCCACTCGAGCTGCGGTCCCCAGGCTGTCCCGCTGGACCGGAAGCAAGCGAGACATGCAGTATTGCACGAATACGACGATTTGGAAGTGCGGGCTCCTGGCCAGCACTCACCCCTACGCACCACGGTACGTGAGGAATGGAAGCTCAAATGAAAGAAGTTCCTTTTACAGCATCAGGCTAGGGTTATCGATGGCAGTTACCACGAGCTCCGTGGTACCCGGAAGAGGATCTGCGGTCGTCCAATGCGTTGGCCCTCCGGTTCAGGACGGCCTGTCGTCTGGGGGCGCTGTCCTACAGCCTTCCCTCCTCGTGGCTGTCGAGGCTGTGGAATAGGTCTTCGGGCCGCTTGCCGGCCGCCATTCGCCGTCAAGACGTGAGTTTATAGTCCAAGTATACGAGTAGACGTGCGCCTATCCGAGGACCACATCATGTCCACTGCCGCCACCCCCTCTGCGGGTCCTACAATGGAGGCGGAACACCTTCCAGCTATCCAAGTCATCGCTTCCGAAGAGCATGCGTCAGTCTCAACCCTGGCCATTCGTGCGACTGGCCTGGAAGAACGCCCGAACCCCTTCGACCTTCCCATTACTAGGCATCGTCCCCCATCTCCAGCTCGCCGAGTATCATCAGTGTTCCTAGACGACACACCCGAGGCCGCATGTCCAGGGGGTTCGGAGCGTCCATCATCATCTGCTTCGCATGCTTCGTCTATCACGCTCTCCTGTGGCCAGGCGATGGCGCAGCCCAGTACTCCAGGGCCGACATATATCTCGGGCCCCTACACCGCCGAGCCCGGTGCCATCACAGCCGACCTACTAGAGCTCGACCCAAAGGAGGTGGAGAAGAAAGTTTATCTCGCCCCCGTCCCTGCAACATTCTGCTCCAATCTGAGATATCAGCGCCGCGAAATGCTGTACGTCGACTTGCCTCACATCTTGAGATGTAGCTCGCAGTAGCGACTTACTCAGCATATGTCAGCGACTTGACGAAATTGGAGGCGCCGATTACCCAGATTCCTGCGAAGAACGCCATCCCTGCTAGGTATGTCACGTCACATGTGTGGGCCTTCAGCGTACCAATCTAAGTATCTACCAGGCCAGAGGTTCTGGGCAAAGGGTGGAGGCAATATGTCCACCCTGAAGGCAGTCGATACTTCAGATATCAGGTATGGTCTATTCTCCTCAGGACGGAGCGTGCCATACTCATGGTTTGTGAAGAACTTCTATACGAACACTTGGCTGTTCGACAAGACAAATCTCGTACAGATCGAGAAAGCAATGGTCCTGATCCAGGACGAGCTCATGAGACATCATGATGTCTCCAAAGACGACATTGAGATTGGCTTGGAGCTGTCCGTGGATGAAGATGGGGATATCCTCGGATGCTACTACATCGTTGATACTAGGAAGGAGGATACGTTTTGGCTCTCTCCAATTGCTGCCAGCTTCCTATCCGACACCGATACGGTGAAGATTCTTGGGAAGGAGCACCTGGGTATGCTTACTGTGAATGTGAATCTTTCAGTGCTGAACTATTGCCTCCTTTCATCCAGGTTACGCGACCGCAGTAAGCTATTGGTATATTGTCCATCGCGCCTCAGGTGAGATCTCCCTTCACGGTTTACGACATCAGTCAGCTCACGTCTCCGCTGAAGTTTTTTCAGTTTGGACTCACGTCGGACACTAGGACCCACGTGTATATGTTCCCTCACGACCGCGAACTCTCTGCTGAGACAGTGGAGGGCTTGAAGAGTGATCTCAACTACTTCATGTTCGGTGGGCCACAATGATCAAATTCACTTCCGCTTATTCTGATCGTTTCGCGTTAGACAAGCAGACCTCCAAGTCGTCTACTGCGCCGTACAACCTAGAGGATGCACATCGCCTTGTCCAGACCCTCAAGGAGATCTCAATAGAACGTGCGTGGATGCACCTCGTGCTGCATCTCTTTTTGTCGCTCATCTCGATTATTTCCAGCCAATAGGGCAGCGCGACCCCAGTACGTCGTTATCGTAGGTGAGTCGCAGAGGTACATATCTGTGTGACTAACAGAGCTGACGGATCGCAGGTCGACTGTTGGCAATCGTTTGTACGCTAGACCGCATTGCGCCTGAGGGGTTCAAACTGACGGCTGCGCACAGTTCAGGAACGGTTCATCCGATATCATGGCGAGCGATACGCCCAACTCGACTCCGATAGGAGCGTGTACCTGGAGACACATCACGATCGACACCTCTGGTTCAGGATGTTCTCATGGATATTCTTCTGGACGCCGCAAATCTACTATGATCGGTTGAGCATTACCTGGGTGGACTCAAAAGTCAATTACGATCATTGGAAAACCTTCATTGGAGAGCTCCAAAGCGACTGGGCAGCATCTATCACTCCGGTACGTTGCCGATCGTCATTGCAGCCTCAGTACAACTATCCCGCATTATATCTGACCGCAAGCTGCGTGTAGTCGACCGTGATCCTCTCTGCGAATGTGGGGTTCCTGGCTATACAAAGCGTCGACAACAATGGCCTCGTCGTCCCGAATCGCAGCATGGGTCAGATCGTCAGTTATATTTCGACCATGCTAACGATCGGAAACATTGTTGCCTGCACCATCCTCGCCCGGCAGCATCGGGAGACCATGCACCGTTACGCCGAAGCTGCGGTATGTGTACATCCTCGTCATGCAGCCCATGAGATGGGCTCATGCTTACCGTCACTTCCTTGCGCACAGGCTGCGTACCTCGACGCTCGTGCGGGCTCGAAGAAAGGCATGGAAGTGCTCGCTATCTTGTTCAGCATCCCGACCGCGTTCTTCGCCTGGGGGTGAGTATCGAGGCCTACCCCCTTACCGCTGGGGGAGATCCGATGCTAACTATCGGCCACACGCAGGGTGCTGACGTTCCTCGTCGCCATCATTTGGCTCTGCCTCTGGGGCACGAGCCTAGCTACCCGGGTCGCGGTCTGCGTGGTCATTGGGGTCTGCACTCTCCTTATCGCTTGGATCGTCCACAACGGCGAATGGCAGGCGCAGCAGGGCATCTCGACGCTGTCGGCGAAGATGAGGCGGATGCACAAGCTGGTCAAGAAGGCGCCTGTGCGGATGGCGACGAGCTTTCGCACCCTGTCTCAGCGGGCTATGACGATCCTTTCTGGGCCGCTTTCTCCTCGCAAGAAGTCACGGTGGTCGGGTCCTGACCCCGTCGATACGCCGGGCGATATTGGTCTTCGCACGTTGTCTTACGGCTCTGACGACGCTGTTTAACAAGGTATCAGTGATAACGCATGTGATGCTGGCCATCCGCCGTGTGTCTATTGTCATCTCTCTCGACCACCCCATAAGAATCTACGGTCGTGTGTCCTGTGCCGCCCTCATGGATCATCCAAACACCGGATCCTTGTATACTTGTACCATCTAACGGCACGATACCACATGTCTTCGTACGAACGAAGCAAACTCAGTAATTCTCCTCTATCTATCGTCTCTACTATGACCCTTTCGGACTGCGTCGGGTGGATGTTCAAGAGACTGGCGAGTCTCCGGTCCGGGCCCTCTCGCACGGTCCTTTAGCGCCGCCTGCCAGTGGCTTGTTCCATGATGCGAACGCCTTCCCATGGCCAGGGAACGTGTGCCAGGGTTCTCCTTGCACTCTATATTAGTAAGGTATCGATATCAGGGGTCTCGGAGTGCGGTCCACTGTCCCCTTGCGCCAAGACGCGTGTCCCCTGAGTATAAGTACACGAGTTGAGATAGGCGTGGCCCCGTTCCTGTATTCACTACTGCCACCACATCTCATTCCTGCAATGGCGGAAAGACACATTCAAGTTACCGGCTCTGTGGGGCACGCACTTACACCCGCCATTGGCGTCTCAAACACAACAGTGCCACGCGGCCTTGACCCCTCTGACTTGGCCACGACACTACATCGCCTAACTTCATCTTGCCGGGTATCTTCAGTTGACTCTCCAAACGCCACGCTTGAGCCAGAACGCACAAGCGCCTCAGACATTCCCTCATCCTCCGCTTCAATTCCTCCGCCCATCACCGCATCTGTCGGCCAGGCGAAGACACCTTCCCCCACCTTCCCGCCGCCGACTGACGTGCAACCCGGCCTGTACATTACCGAGCTTGGATCGAATACGGCTAGTAGACCAGTGATTCACCCGAGAGAAGAGGGAAACCCTGTTTATCTAGCTGCTGCTCCCCCGACATTCATGAATCGCATGAGATACGAGCGTCGCAAAAAGCTGTACGTCGAGGTATCCCAACCTGTGATCATGCTCGCATTACGGACTCATTTGAGTGGCCTCAGGGACCTCACCCCCATGGAGACACCAATTCTGGAGATTCCTGCGAGGAATGCAATCGCTGTTAGGTACTTCTTAGCAGATTTATTGATCGGCTTTCGTATCCTGTTCTGACAATCTTCTAGATCGGAGTTGGAGGTCCTCGGCAAGGGATGGGTGCAATACGTCCATCCTGAAGGCAATCAATATTTCCGCTACTATGTATGGTCATCACTATGTCACAGGATGAGTTGTGTCATACTCACGTCCTTGGAAGAACTTCTATACGTGTACGTGGTTGTTCAACACCATGTATCTCAAACAGATCGAAAAAGCCGTCACTCTTATTGAGGAGGAACTCGTGAAGCAGCTTGTTTCACCAGAAGACATGGAGATCGGATTAGAGCTGTCCGTAGATGAAGACGGGAACACCCTCGGATGCTACTACATCGTGAATGCTAGGAAGGAGACTACATTTTGGATTGATAAACTCGGGGCTGTGAAGACAAGGATTAGATCCGACTAGAGTCGAAGCAAGATCTTCAGTCAGTAAGGAAAGACTATATTGCAGCAACGAACTGTACCTAGAGTCGAAGCAAGACTACAAAGGTTAAGTAAGTAACTACAAGTTAGAGGTAAAGGTAACGAAGTACTCACTCTTCAGTCAGTAAGGAAAGACTGAAGAGGGAGGACGCAATCTGAAGTCCTTATATACTACAGTGAAGTGTCCATGACTAATTGAAGAGTGGTTAGTCACATGTACCATAGTGCGATGAATAATACGATGGTGAAAGAATTGCGACGTATCGCACCATAGGATGAGTAACAGATGAGTAAGGCATAGACCTGTCTAGACCGTTCTGGAGTAGTACGGATTGTCCTAGACAGTACCAGAAGAGTCCGGAAGCATTAGCTATAGTACACGAGCAGAGAGTCCCAAATATGGTAAACATACTACATAAGCGACTACAGC